TAGTTAACCCAATACCAACATAACTTAAATTTCACAAATCATTCTTTTATCAATTTTTTCAAATCCAATTCTCAGCCCAACCCAATTTTTTGTTATGAATCTAATAATCCTAAACCTAATTGCTCAGCCCCAATTTACAGCCCAATTTATAGGCCTGATTTACATATAACCCTAGCAGGAGGACATTTCACTTAGTCTCTCTTTTGCTTGCTGCTTCTTGCAATTGCAAATTGCGAATTTGGGAACTAGGATTCCTCATTCCTCTCTCAGTCAGCGTCGGTCTCTCCTTTCCAGTCAGTCTCTAAGTCTCCTCTCCTCTAGTCCTCTGCCACACTCTTGCTCAAACTCTGCCCTCATCTCCACGGATCACTATGAATTGGTGCTTCCCTTCAGCTCTCAACCTCTCACCGACTCACCATGTCGTCTCTCGGTCGGTCACTCTCTCGGTTGGTCTCTCTAGCCAGTCTTTGAGTTTCCTCTCCTCTAGTCCTTTGCCACACTCTTGCTCAAACTCTGCCCTCATCTCCACGGACCTTCATAGTGATTCCCTTCAGCTCTCAACCTCGCCGTCACTACAACCCCTGGCCTCTGCTGCCCTGCAATGCTCGCCGCTCACCTCCAGCTGAGCTCCAAGGCTGCCGTTGGGTCATCTCAGCCCGCCTCTCACCGTGGCACCGTGTCGTTAGCCCATCACTGCAAGTCAGCAACGCTCCTCGCTCACCAAAGCTCACCTTCAGCTTATTTTAAAAGAGTGATCTTGATCATCTTTGTTTGCTATATAGGATTCTGTAAAATTACTATTTTCTTTTAGAATTTTGATTAACAAACAGTGAAATAGGTGATAGTTTTATTTGGTGGGGACTCCGAATACCCGCAGGGATCTATTATTCCCCACGAAAATGAGAACGTAGGTAATTTTTAATCCCCTACCAAAATTTTTCATGAAAATCTTCGTACTCATCATTAACATGAATGAAGATGGAGAGGAGATCCCACCCTCGTGAAGACCCGTTGCCATCCCTATTCTCCTCCAAGATCGTGTTACGCAATTTCTTCCTTTTTGACTATTATGCAATGAAGCTAATGGGAAACAAAAACAACCCTACTTACCGACTCTTTGCCTTTTTGGCCGTCAATGTTGAAAAAATGGAAAAGAGCCTCATTTCTTTATCTGCCGACTCTTGGCCTTTTTGGCAGTCAATTATGAAAAAATGAAAAAGAGCCTTATTTGTCTGTCGGCTGTGTCTTTGTGGCCGTCAATATTGAAAAAATGGAAAAGAGCCTTATTTGGGGATAAATTTAATGTAAAAAATGAGAGTTATTTTTAAATTTATTTAATATAAAAATTAAAATTTAATAAATAATAAATAACAAATAATAAAAATAAGTAACGAATTATGATTAATAAATAATGATTAATGAATAATGAAAAATAGATAATGGATAGTCAATAACAAATTTATTTGTTTAGTTATATAATAATTAATTGTTATTTAATATATAAATTATTTTTAATTCGTCAATTTAAAAAAGTTAAAAAATAAAGTTATTTTCGAATAGATGGAGGAATAAAATAGAACAAATTTATTGTAGAAACTTAAAGGTGTCAAAAAAAATTTATTGTAGGAACTTAAAAGGAGCCCAAAAAAAATTAAAGTTAAGGATTAGAAAGGAAATTTCTTTAATTGAGGGACTAATAAGAGACTATAAAAAAGGTAAGGGACTTAAAAAGCAGTTTTAACCGTAGCTTTATTATTATTTCTTTTGCAAATGAGGAATATCCCACCACTAGGGCTGGCCACGTTGCCAGTCTTGTCGTGGCAACCGTCCAACCGAACGGTTTGGGCCAGTAATGGTTACCATACGGTAGGCCTAAATTTACCGTTTGGGCCATTTGTTGAGTAATGGTGATGAGGCCCATTGTCAATTTTACCGCATGACTCTCCAGATCGAACCATGCCGCAATTTTTTTTTCTTTATTTAATGATAATGGCATTTTTGTAATACTTTGCACAGCGACCGCACTATAAATATTATGCATGGCGATGTGCTTTTAGTTCTCTATATTTTCTTTAATTTTGATATTATTTTTTATTACCATTATTATTAATTTAATCAGACTTTCTATTTATTATAAAAAAATGGAGCTTTTAGCTTGTCACATCAGTATCAAGAAAAGACGCGATGTGCAGAGCACATTTGATGATGCTTCAGACGAAGTGAATTCAGTGCAATCAATTTTTTTTTTTTTAACAGGAAGAATTTCCAGGGAGCTGCAAGAGTAAGGCCCAAAAATAAAATTCAGATCATTATATTTAGGGCTTGTGAAAAATTAAGATTCATTGGCAGTCTTGACAAAATCAAGGTAATCCATCCATCCATCCATCAAATGATTCTTACGGGGGATACATCTGATGAGGACCACTTGATAAATAGTTCTCATCTTGTTAAGACTGCCATGCAATACTGACTTTTTGTTTCCTGTTATATTTAATCACATTTTTAAAGAGTGGTAACTAAGCCATCAAAAGTTGGACGAATTCAGTGCAATCATTTTGTTAAAAGAAAATGAAGAAGGAACCATGGATATGATGTGTAGGGCTTGAGAGGCTCTTCCACATTGAATAATTCCACTCATTTTTGTCGTTGATTTATGTCTTGTTTTTTACATTACCAAGACTAGAAGCGGTGAAATATTAAACTTTGGCTGACAAAATTCTATTTCTTCTACATTCAGAGTTCCCTTTCTTTACTCTTTTTTCTCTTAAATGCAATAGATTCGAATGCAGGATTAATTATATAAATAATCAGATCAGTTTGTTTTTCTTACAGCATAGAAAATAAAATTTGAAGAAAATTTGAAAATAAAAATCTATTACAAGTTTAGATACTAACACAAATAAGCAGTAAAATACTAATTAACTAAGGATATATATATATATATATATTATGCAGCATGCACTATTAATTTATTAATTTAAGAAGTTAGGACATTAACAACATTATTGTGAATATGTAGATGCACATTATCGTACAATAAATAATATAATAATGTATTCCAAATTATCCCATAAAGCATAAATATTAAAAAAAAAACTCTCGCTAAGTATGAAAGTCATGTTAATTATAATTTTATCTAATAATTTCGAAATTTAAGATAGAGAAACACAATTTAATTAATTCTAAATTCAGCTAATTTGTAAAATTAGTTTCAATTTCTAAACAACGACCTAGGACACAATTTTCGTCAACCTGATCCGCTTCAAACTTTATTGTTGAATTTTCTCTCAATTTATTAATTTTCAAGTAACAGTCAAGAAATCTATATATAATTTACTAATTTTTCCTAAGATCTAGTAATATTTATATTCTAATTTATCAAGTTTTGTATTTCTACACAAATCTAAATAAGTAGAAATATTATTAACTCTTATAATTTTTCTTTTAAAATTGTATATAGATATTATGAGTATATTTTTATTTTTAACTTATATTATTCTATTTAAGGATTCAACTCTAATATATTTTTTTAAGATATGTACCAGTTATTTAAATAATTAAGTGATCAAGTCAACTAAAGGCATTAAATATAAAATAAAATAATTACTTGAACAAAAAATAAATAGAGAAATTAAATTCAACTCAACTTGAAGATTCATAGTTTGAATCCAATTGGAACCCTATAAAAAATGACTTAGTTCATGATATATAGAGATCAATTAAAAAATAAAAATCTCATTTTTAATAAAAATAAAAAAAATCCAAAATTGATCAATTGCACCGCTAAAAATTTTTTTCTTTTTCACTGGAGTTCCTACTCTTCCTCTTGCTAGAAAAATCTCCCTCTCAACCGGCTGCCTTTAATTCTAGTACTGGATAAATATTTTACTGAAAACCTAATTTTAATAGAAGTGGAACCAAGTCTAATCAAGAACGACTTAGTGTTAATGTGCTGGAAATCGCCCAAGGTATCGACACGCTAAACAAGTGCCGACACTTTCACTGTACTCTCGAAAAGAGTTCGTGTCGGAATTTGGCCTTGAAAGCAATTTTAACTCTTTTATTGGGAAAATTGTTTGGATCCCTTATACTTTTAACAAATTGACACTTTGATCTTCCTAATCTTGATTTCTTTGGTTTGGTCTTAAGAATTTCAATTTCTTGTAATTTAATCCTTACCTACCCAAAAATAATTAAACATACATAAAATCAAGTAAAATAAACCTCAAACAATTCAAAGAACTAAAATTTAAAATTAAAAGACATGTTAAAAAATATATAAAATTTGGACTTATTAAGCACAAACACATGTAGATTTGATAATCTAAAAAAAGATGGATATTGGTGTAATAGATTTCAATAAACAGTGATAAAGTAGAGAACATATGATATAAATTTGTAGAACAAAAAGTAAAACTAAATATACTAAAACTTTAATTCAAAAAAAGGAATTTCAACTAAGCAAAAAACAAAATGCTAATTTACAAAAAAAATAAAATACTAATTTATTAAGAAACTGAAATACAAAATATGAACATACAAATTACTCCAAAATAATAACAAATGATTTGAAACACAATCATTAATATAACAAAAAAAAAAGTATGTTGCATTTCTTTCAAGTTGGAAAGAAACTGATAGATAGCATCTGTTGACTAACACAACACTTGTACTCTTGGTCAAGAAACAAAAGTGTTTCCTTCTTTGCTGTTAGTTTCGGTATTAAACAATCTATAAGGTCAATGAAGAGATTGATTCGGATCAATTATGTACATCTTCCAAAGAAGAGGTAGCTTCTACACAGAAAAATCCGAGCATGGTTAGAAAATTGCCAATGACATCTGCATGCAGAGCATTATACTCAAGTTTCACATGTTAGATAACGCCAATAGAAACAATTCTTTTTTAAACTATGGATAACGAGAACATGTTTGACTTAAACGAGTGTTTGATCAGTGATTGATTTAATGATGGTATAATTCCTATTAAGGACCAATTTTTAACTTGAAATGCAAGCAAATAATAAGACATTTTACGAAGATGCATGGTTACTCTGCTTAGCCTAAGCCCAAACAACTCATAGATGGATAGAGCAAGAATGATAACTTAATGATTTTTTATTCTGTCCAGAGGTCAGGATGGCACTTGAAATTATTAAAATCGTTCAGAGTCTGAGTGATGAATGTGTGACCATGATAACTTATATGATATTATGTATTCTTCAAGAATTTATTAATCCTTTCCAACATTTT